CACAGTCTAAAGGTGCCAGATCTAAATCTAGACGAGTTCCCACCTGAGCACCAAGTTAGTTTATTTGCCTGCCTTCTGGACACTTTCTCTTGGATGTGCCATTGGACCAGGCTTGCTTGACTTCGCTCATTATCTGCCCTTTCCCTGCATTTCCTAGCCTGGTTAATGGCATTAGGGCACCTAGGTCAGAGCTTGGTTGATCTCTTTGCTTTCTGTCTCTCTCTCCTTATCATCCGCACTGCAACAACTCAGTTCCTGCCCTCACCATTTCTTGCCTGGTCTCTTTTTTTTTTAACGCTGGTATTCTTCCTTCACTTTTTTCTTTTTGCCAGGTCTCTTATGATCAACCTGTAACTGGTATCTCAGGCTCCTGGCATCATGCTCCTCAAAACTGCCCAAATGCACAATTTAAAATGCAAATGTGACCTCTTCCATTCCCGAAACTCTTCGGTATACCCCCATCTCCAGGAGCCCAGACAGTGTGCAAGGTATCCAAGATCTCTGACTACTTAAAGCCTCCTCTGCCATCATTCTCCCAGATGCACATGGGACTCTGACAGGGCCAAAGTCCTGTACTACCTACCCCCTCCATCTGTTTCACCCCACCACGCCCTTGCACACAATGTTCCCTCTGTCTGGAATGCCTGTACCTGCCTTGTCTGTTTACATGTCTGTTTCCCTATTAGAGTGTGAGTTCATGTTTCTGCATCTAACACCTCATACACGATGTGTGAGGCCCTGCAACTCTGATCCCTGCTGGCTTCTTTACCTCGTCCTGCTTTGTCCTTTCTCCAATCACACAACCTACCTTACCTTCCCGACTCAGTCAGATTTCCTCTCCCATGATGCTTTCAAAGAACTATGGATCTTCCCTTCACAGCACTGAATCCCATGGCAATTTTACATCCATGTCAGTGACTGTGCAGTGAATGTGAGTGTCTCCCACTAGGACATGAGCTCCATAGAAATAAGGGGTTAGGTCTAGTACTCAATGTAATTTTTTTTTTTTAAGAGATGAAGCCGGGTGTGGCAGCTCATGCCTGTAATCCCAGCACTTTGGGAGGTTGAGATGAGCAGATCATGAAGTCAGGAGTTCAAGACCAGCTTGGCCAATATGATGAAAACCTGTCTCTACTAAAAATACAAAAATTCGCCAGGCATGGTGGCACGTGCCTATAATCCCAGCTACTCAGCAGGCTGAGGCAGGAGACTAATTTGGACCCAGGAGGTGGAGGTTGCAATGAGCCAAGAACGAGCCATTGTACTACACACTGGGTGACAGAGTGAGACTCCCTCTCAAAAAAAAAAAAAAAAAGAAAGAGAGAGAGAGAGAGAGAAATGAGGTCAAGCTGGTTTCAAACTCCTGACGCCAAGTGACCCTCCTGCCTCAGCCTCCCATAGTGGAATTACAAGCATGAGCCACCATGCCTGGGCCTAAATTTGTTAAGTGAATAAGAGCACACAATTCTTACAGACATTAGGGGCTACATGATGTAGGAGACAGAACTCAGCTTTAAGAGCCAAACAGGCCTGGTTTCAGTCTCACCTCTGCCACATATTATGTGACTTTGGGAAAGTTGCCAGATCTCACCTAAGGTGGATTCTTCATCTGTAAACAAAACATAATACCCACTTTGTAGGCATATACATGAGCAGAGCTTAGTAGAATCTCAAAAAACAGTAGCAATTAACCTAGATCTCCCAGGATGGCTGCCGAATAAATATCTAATTCAATGTAACTTCTTGTTTTCAAAGGTGCTTTATGATTATGAAATGTATTTTTGTCATTCTGAAGTTATTTTGGATGTGGAGTCTCACATTTTAAAAATCCGTTGGTTTATTCCTACTTTGCAGATGGGAAAACTGAGGTTCAAAGAAGCAAAGTGACTGTTCCAAAGCTGTACAGTTAGTGACAGAATTACAAATCTGGTCCACATGAATGACCAAGCTAATTTATTTATTTATTTGGAGGTCTCACTGTGTTGCCTAGGCTGAAGCTCAGTGGCACGATGGCAGCTCACTGTAGACTCAACCGCCTGGGCTCAAGCGATTCTCCCACCTCAGCCTCCCACGTAGCTGGAACTATAGGCATGCGTCACCATGCCAAGCTAATGTTTTAAAATTTTTGTAGAGACGGGGGTCTCACTTTGATGCCCTGGTCTCAAACTTCTGGCTGTAAGCAATTCTCCTGCCTTGGCCTCCCAAAGTGCTGGGATTAAAGGCATGAGCCATTGCATCTTGCCCAAGCTAATTTTTTTTTTTTTTTTTTTTTTTTGAGACAGAGTTTCACTCTTGTTGCCCAGGCTGAAGTGCAATGGCACCATCTAGGCTCACTGCAACCTCCGCCTCTCCGGTTCAAGTGATTCTCCTACCTCAGCCTCCCGAGTAGCTGGGATTATAGGCATGTGCCACCACACCCAGCTAATTTTGTATTTTTAGGAGAGGCAAGGTTTCTCCATGTTGGTCAGGCTGGTCTCGAACTCCCGAACTCAGGTGATCTGCCCGCCTCAGCCTCCCAAAGTGCTGGATTACAGGCTTGAGCCACTGCTCCTGGCCTACTATAAATTCTTGAAGGGCAGATGCTGTCATCTTTTTCCACATTCTCCATAGCACCTATTGTGATGGTTTGAAATCAGAATAAAAGTGTGTTGAAGGATGAAAAGTTGCCTGAGTGAATGGAAGAATGTCTTCTATTTCCTGTTTCCAGCTCCAGCTCCCCGTCCCACCTTGGGGTGGCTGGATAGGGGATAACAGTCACTCAGGCCTGGCCCTAGGGCAGGAAAACGGGTTTGTCATGGAAGGAAATTGAAGATGCTTCGTTTACATTGGAGATTTGCTTTCTATTTCCTATCAGACTTCGAGCTTCCTGAGTGGGGTATAGGAGCCTGTCTTTCATTTGTGTTTCCACTGCTTAGCTTCCAGGGTTGGTACCAGCTCTCAAGATGCTTTGACATGGAGTAGACAGGAGATCTGAGGACCAAAAGCTCAGGCTCAGATGGAGCAGAGAGAGGACAATGTTCCCATCCTTAGGCTGCTCTGGGGGAAAATGGGCTTGCTGGTGAAATAGAGATGGGTGGGCTGGAAATGGGATGCACAGAAGAGAGGCATGTGCCGCCCGCCCCACTCACACCCCGATTTTGAAGGAAAACTTTCATTCTAGTGTAGGGAAAAGGCAACTTTCCCAGGATGTAATGAGGAACATTTTCAAGTTGTAAGGAACTGGAACATCTTTATATCATTCATTCAATCCGGAAAAAAAAAATTTTTTTTTTGAATCCTGTCAAACCTGGATCCCTGTATCCATCTACTTAGAACATTATTTCCTTCTCCCTACTCCTTCTTTTTGTTATTTTCTTCTGCTGCTGTAGTTTAAAACACTTCTTTTCTATATTGGAGCAAGAAACGGTTCACCAGACTGTGAGGATTTGGTCCACACTGTGAAGCAAAGGGGCTTTCTAAACTCAATTTTCTTTTTTTTAAGTGCGCCTCTCCTCCCCCCGGCCCCCCGTCACGACACCCCTCGGGAGAGACAACAGAAAATAATTGATCCATCATCCAGCACCAGGCCCAGGAGATTTACATGCAAACTCCTCCTCGACCCCCCTCCCCCTTCTCAAATTTAAAATCCTGGAAGGAAAAAAAAATTCTAAAAGTAGTAGGAACCCTGCTGGCCGCCCCTCACCCCTTACCAGGTGAGAGGTGGCGGGGCGGATAACTCACCACAACCCCCCAGCGTCACACACGCCGCCCCTCTCGGGTGTGGAACCACTTCAGATTTGGGTAAAACTCCCCTCTCGCCCTGCTAGACAAGTGGAGGCGGGATCTGGAAGCTTTTAGGGGGCGGAGGTAGACGTTCGGGGGCAGAAGGAAGATTCCCCCAAACGTTTGTCAGGTCTAAGAGAGTCGTCTCTTCACTCAAACTTGCCCGTCACCCCCTGTTCCGCCCCCCACCATTAACTTTCGATTAAGACCGCCTCCTTACGGCAACTAAACTTTAGTTTGCACAATTAAGATTTGCCGGGGAAGAAGCGGGAGGAAGAAGCCGCAGCTCCGGGCCATTCTCCTTCCCCTCGCTCCCTCCAAGCCCCCCGCCCCAACTCTCCAGCTCCGGGCCTCAGAGTTCCCGAGTTTTCTCACTTTGAGGTGCCACTGAACACAAAGAACCATAATGGGCTCCTTTGTGCTAGCTACGGGGCAATTACGCCTCAGAGTCCAGGTCCCTTTAAGAGCCTCTTAAAGAGACAAGTTCCCATTTTTTAGAGGGTTATTTAAGCGTGTGTGTCTGGGAGGGCGAGGAGGGGTCTACGTGTAAAGTGAAGTGAAACTTTCGCCTGGGCTCCAGAAAGGGCGGACCAGAAAAAGTCTTTGTAAATTGATAGGTTTTTTATTAAGTCTCTCTGTTTTAATTTTTAGATTTGAGATTTTTCACTAGATTTGACAAATTGGACTAGGAATAGCTGGGGTTCGAGGATCGGGGGCGGGGGCAAGGATTTAAAAAGTCCCCACCTGGCAGAGCACCTCGGTCCCGGGAAGAGGAGTAAGCCAGGGTTGAGTTGCCTGAGTCCACCGCGGCTCTGGGGAACGTGTGTTCCCCGGTCTCGCCGGGTCGACTCTGGAGAATCTCGGGCTGGGCAAACAGCCCTTAGTATAATAATAGCTTGTCTCTTTAAAAAGCAAAAGGGTGCGGGGTGCGAGGGGGGGAAGTTTTGTTGGCATCTGGTTTCTGATCTCATTATGTTGTGGTCGACCAATCCAGCCCTCGGGCCTGGTCCTCGGGTTTAAATCTGATTGGCCGACAGCACATTTTGGGATGGTGCTTAGAGCTCGACGGGGCGGTTTCAAGGATCCCTTTTTTGGGGGGCTGAGGAGAGGGCGGGGCCGCCAGCGGGGGCCCCCTTGAAACCGACTAATTGGGATCCGAGAGGCCGAGGTGAGGGCTGGAGGAGGCACAAAGAAGTCGCTGGGTGCTGAAGGGAGGGGAGAGGGGGAGCTGAGAGGCGAGAGGAGGAGGAAGAGGAGAGAGGGCAGCGGCGCGCTGTGTCTCGGGCGGCTCAGTCCGACCGTGGCGAGCAAGCGGGCAGGCGCGCCGCCCCCTCCCCCGCCCGGCCTCCCCAACTCTGCGGCCGTGAGCAAAGTTTGCAAAGAGGCGCGGGAGGCGGCGGCCGCCCCAAGGAGGCGGCGGGGAAGGAGCGCAGTCTCCGGGTTGGGGGCGGGGGCGGGGGGAGCCAAGGAGCTGGGTGGGGGGCGGCGGCCAGCATGCGGCCCCGCAGCGCCCTGCCCCGCCTGCTGCTGCCGCTGCTTCTGCTGCCCGCCGCCGGGCCGGCCCAGTTCCACGGGGAGAAGGGCATCTCCATCCCGGACCACGGCTTCTGCCAGCCCATCTCCATCCCGCTGTGCACGGACATCGCCTACAACCAGACCATCATGCCCAACCTTCTGGGTCACACGAACCAGGAGGACGCAGGCCTGGAGGTGCACCAGTTCTATCCACTGGTGAAGGTGCAGTGCTCGCCCGAACTGCGCTTCTTCCTGTGCTCCATGTACGCACCCGTGTGCACCGTGCTGGAACAGGCCATCCCGCCGTGCCGCTCTATCTGCGAGCGCGCGCGCCAGGGCTGTGAAGCGCTCATGAACAAGTTCGGTTTTCAGTGGCCGGATCGCCTGCGCTGCGAACACTTCCCGCGCCACGGCGCGGAGCAGATCTGCGTGGGCCAGAACCACTCCGAGGACGGAGCGCCCGCGCTGCTCACTACGGCGCCGCCGCCGGGTCTGCAGCCCGGCGCCGGGGGCACCCCGGGCGGCCCAGGCGGCGGCGGCGCGCCCCCGCGCTACGCCACGCTGGAGCACCCGTTCCACTGCCCGCGCGTCCTCAAGGTGCCATCCTATCTCAGCTACAAGTTTCTGGGCGAGCGTGACTGTGCCGCGCCCTGCGAACCCGCGCGGCCCGATGGTTCCATGTTCTTCTCGCAGGAGGAGACGCGTTTCGCGCGCCTCTGGATCCTCACCTGGTCGGTGCTGTGCTGCGCTTCCACCTTCTTCACTGTCACCACGTACCTGGTAGACATGCAGCGCTTCCGCTACCCCGAGCGGCCAATCATTTTTCTGTCGGGCTGCTACACCATGGTGTCGGTGGCCTACATCGCGGGCTTCGTGCTCCAGGAGCGCGTGGTGTGCAACGAGCGCTTCTCCGAGGACGGTTACCGCACGGTGGTGCAGGGCACCAAAAAGGAGGGCTGCACTATCCTCTTCATGATGCTCTACTTCTTCAGCATGGCCAGCTCCATCTGGTGGGTCATCCTGTCGCTAACCTGGTTCCTGGCAGCCGGCATGAAGTGGGGCCACGAGGCCATCGAGGCCAACTCTCAGTACTTCCACCTGGCCGCCTGGGCCGTGCCAGCAGTCAAGACTATCACCATCCTGGCCATGGGCCAGATCGACGGCGACCTGCTGAGCGGCGTGTGCTTCGTGGGCCTCAATAGCCTGGACCCGCTGCGGGGCTTCGTGCTGGCGCCGCTCTTCGTGTACCTGTTCATCGGTACGTCGTTCCTCCTGGCCGGCTTCGTGTCGCTCTTCCGCATCCGCACCATCATGAAGCACGACGGCACCAAGACCGAGAAGCTGGAGCGGCTCATGGTGCGCATCGGCGTCTTCTCGGTGCTCTACACGGTGCCCGCCACCATCGTCATCGCCTGCTACTTCTACGAGCAGGCCTTCCGCGAGCACTGGGAGCGTTCGTGGGTGAGCCAGCACTGCAAGAGCCTGGCCATCCCGTGCCCAGCGCACTACACGCCGCGCATGTCGCCCGACTTCACGGTCTACATGATCAAATACCTCATGACGCTTATCGTAGGCATCACATCGGGCTTCTGGATTTGGTCGGGTAAGACGCTGCACTCGTGGAGGAAGTTCTACACTCGCCTCACCAACAGTCGGCACGGCGAGACCACCGTGTGAGGGGCGCTCCCAGGCCCAGGCTGGACCCGCGCGGCGCTATCCTCCGCCCGGGGTGGGGCCCCTACGGACTCCGTATTTTATTTTTTTTAATAAAGAACGATCGAAACCATTTCACTTTTAGGTTGATTTTTAAAAGAGAACTCTCTGCCCAACACCCCCACAAGGTTTGTAATTAAAACTGTAAATAGTCTTTGTAAATTTAATTATATATATTTTCTATTTAAAAGAAAAAAGGAAAAAAAAAAACACCAGCGGTGTGGGCTCCAGGGCTGAAGAATGAGGGGTGTGTGTGTGTGTGTGTGTGTGTGTGTGTGTGTCTAAGGGGGGGGCGTAGTTGGGGGAAGGGTTCACTTTCTTGAGAGCCCTTCAAAACCCGCCCCTACTTTGGAGTTTTTTGGTGATATGGCAGGGCTGGGCCTGCTGGGAGAGGCACCCAGCCTGCGCTGTTTTTGTTGGCTTTGAGTTGTTGGAAGTTCGTTCCATTCAACTAATATAAAAGCCAAATTTGTGAGGCTCGTCACTGACGCTGGGCCTGTGGAAGCTGTTGGATATTTTTGAACAGGACTTGGATTCGTTTTGTTTCCTTCCCCATTTTCTGTCCCTCCTCATTTGTCCTATTTTCTTCACTCACTCTTTGGAAAAGTCCCAACTGAGATGAAGATGTGGCAAAAAAAAACCGAGGTGGGGGGTGCCAGTGGGGAGAGAGCGGAGATGGGGTGGGAATGGCCTCGGCCCCCTGGCCCACTCCCCCGCAGGCTGGAAGATCTTTCCCCTCTCTGGTTTCTCTTCGTTTCAGTTCGTTGCACCAAATGCTTCCAGTGGCCCGAAAATGCTTTGTGAAGTGTGTTTTGAAACAGCCCGGCACCAACACACACCACCAGGAGTACTGATCCTGCCTCCCTGCACGTCCAGGGAAGCATTCGCCTTTGAGCATTTGTTCGCAAATTTGGGGGCTCTGAGATCTCCTGGCATCTCTCCCCTTCTTCTCCTGCGGTCTGTTCACACCCCAGCCAAAAATTTCCAGCGTTCAGGTTAGCAGTTTCTGGATTGGTTTGTGTGGGTTTTTGTTGTTGTTTGGGGCTTATTTTTTTTTTTTTCAAAAAGCAATAAAGAGGGGTGGGTTGGAGGGAGGGGACTGATGGGCTGATGGGCTTTTTAGTTTTTCTTTGACGGAAAGACTGGTTTCTTTAAAACTTGTTCAGAAAAAAATGAAGAAAAAAGAAAAAGGTGGTGTCGTTGCTTTAGAAGAAGGCTCTGGACAGGCTCTTTGTGGCTGTGGGGGCGGGTTGAGTGTTTACATGACATTCTATATCACAAGATTGATAGAATGTTTATAGCAGATGTTTCTTATCTTCCCCCTACCCCCCACAAATAAAAGTCAAGACTTTTCTTAAGTTAGCTGCCTGAGAAGTGATGTCTAAAAGTACCCTGGCTGGTGTGAGAACTCCGGTTTCCAATACACATTATTTCCCTCAACTATTTGGAATATTTTAGAATTTTAATTCCAAAGGATTGGTTTGAATACAAGTATACAAGTATGCCACATAACTCAGTTTTCACCATCTCCCGTTTCTTAGCAGTGTAAATTAAAAGCTAATAATCATAATAATAAAATGCATTTAATTATCTTCGAGAGATCTATCCCTTTAATTGTATTTAACAGGGTTGTAACATTTTATTAGTTTAACCAAACCACACCTCCTCCTCCCCTGTCCCCCTTACCTACTTGGTTGGAGGTGGGGCAGAGAAGAGTGCTCCCAGCCCTGGACCTTCCTTTCTTAGCTAAATGGTGATGGGGTAAATGGCGCCTTACCACCCTTTGTTGGCTGTCTTCGGGACAAGGGAGAAAGTAAGTTAGAACCCCTACTTCCAAGTGTTTGCATGTGTTAGTTTATGTTGGGGGAGGGGAACTGGAAATGTTTGGTGGTAATTGAAGTCATGTGGGGCTTTGTTTGGAACTGTATGAAGCCTGTGGATTTCAGCAGCGCCCCCTCCCAAAAATATATAATTTCCCCCCCAAATCATCTGTGTCAGTGGCTAGTTAAAACTAGCTTTTTATCAAATGATAATGAGTGTGATATCTAAACCTGAGGTTTCCTCAACTATCAAGGAAGCAGGCGGGAGGAGGTGTCACCACCCCTTGGCTCCATTTGTTGCAAGATTCTAAAGGAACCCCGCAAAGGCTTCAGGAAAAAGTAAAATTACAAACAAATTATGAGTGCCTCTCCTTGTAATAATGGTGAAAGCTGGAGAATCAGGTGGGATTTTCCAGCGCCTGGTATTGAGCCCAGTGGGAAGAAGGGCTGGTCTCTGTTGCAGATTGAGAAGAGCCTCTCCCACCTCTAAGCCCCCCAAGATCGTGACTCTGTGTGCTTTGGGTACATTTGTCCCTGGACCCTTGCACTGAGCAACCCCCTCCTCAAAGTCTGCTGCCAACATAAAGGAAAAAGGCCTGAGAAACTGACAAAATAGGTTATATGACTGAGGAGGAAGACAGATGATAAGACAGTTGCATCTTTTGGAAAGAACAGATCTTATAGATATCCTTCCCCTTTTGAGGGGGGTGGGTAGCCAAGGGCTGAATTATCCTACTGAAAAGTGTGGTGTGGGGGGAACCCTCCTCTCCACACCCTTCTCCTGTTTCTTAAATGAAACACTCTTAGAGGAAGGAAAGCTTTAGACCACAGTTTGGGGAATTTTGGATAAGGAGGAGAAAGTACCCTGGAGGAAGACTCAGAGGTAATCCACCTGAGCTCACGACGGCCACACAGGGAGAGGGCACCTCAGCTCCCTTTTTCAGAAAACTCAGTTAAAAACAGGAGCTTAGAGATCTTCTTTTGGAGATTTCTAGGTCTCCCTATGAGCAGGAAAAAAGTTTCCTTGTTGTTAATTGGGCTGGTCCCTCCCTCTGGAAGAGCAAAGCTTTGTGTTTGTTGGAGGGTCAGGGCCAAGAAGGAAATACCTTCACCTGTGGCGCCTGGGCCTGGGGCAGGTCTCCCGTCCGCAGCTGCTTTCTGCCTGCTCTTCTGCCCTCCCCAAGGGCGATGCTCGGGGGTTTCAAGGTCCCAGGCACTTCTCCTCCTGACTGCCCACTCTTGTTGATCAGGCTTTCCCTCCTCCCAGCCCAGACTTCCCTCCAGAAGACTTTAACATTCGTTCCAAACTTTTTGCCCTTTAAGAAGATTCTTTAAGAGCCAGCTCTAGAAAAGCCACTAAACTTTCTCAAAACAAAATTCTTCTGAACATCCCCAAAGAATTAAGATGAGGTTCAGCTCAGTGGAATGGGGAACCGCTTTTTGTTCCAAAAACTCCAGGAGGGTGGGGAGATGCTGTCCAGGGGCGGGGGGGGGGCGTGGGGGTAGGGATGCCTGCCATGGGGTCTTGGGTCTGTGTCTGAGCCGGGCCAGCCCTCCCTTCTGCAGTCTTGCCACTCACTGTACCATGGTCCCTCCTCTAGAATCACTCTTACCTTAAATGGATCTTAAAACTTCTGGGGGCCACTGATCCTCTGAGAATCTCAAAACTCTTTGGACCTTTTCCTGGGGAAAAAAAAATGGCCAGATGCCCCATGAACGTGCAATTGTGTGTAGCTTTAGGAGGTTTCTAGATCTTCCCTGTCCTCTCTTCCTACCCATCTGCCCCTAAGCTAGTTTTCCAGTCCCTGGTCTAGATTTTTTTTTTTTTTGAGACTGAGTCTCGCTCAGGCTGGAGTGCAGTGGCGTGATCTCAGCTCACTGCAACTTCCACCTCAGGTTCAAATGATTCTCTTGCTTCAGCCTTCCGAGTAGCTAGGATTATAGGTGTGCGCCACCACTCCTGGCCAATTTTTGTATTTTTAGTAGAGACGGGGTTTCACCATGTTGACCAGGCTGATCTCGAACTCCCAGCTTCGGCATCCCAAAGTGCTGGGATTACAGGTATGAGCCACTGCTCCCGCCTGGTCTAGACATTTTCTAGTCCTGGTTATTAGCTACCTTTCTTCCCTAAAGGATAGCCTTTACCTTCTCAGACTCCAATATACCTAGTCTCTAATCACCTCTGCTACAGAAAGGGGGTAGGGTGAGGAGGGAACAACCACTAGGCCAACAAAAACCAGGAGTATCCCCAAACCAGATTATTCACTCAGCTCAATCCTGCCCCTCAATCAGGTGGCAAGTGATCAGGATGCAGCAGAGTGGAATATGAATGAATAAAATGTATAGTTGGAAAAATGGAGAGAGTGACAGACAACGTATGGTGAGCCGAGCCTTTGGCGTGCTTTGGTACTGCTCACTGCAGTAGCAGCTGGAGCACTTGCGGCATTTTTCTAACCTCTGAGTGTGTGTCCTGATCTGTAAAAAGGCTGAGAGTACCTGTCTGCTTAAGTTCTGAGTGGCAGATAAGACCATGTATCTATGGAGCCCCAGCAGTAGAAGTTTAATACCTTGCAGCACTTTTCCAATTACTCAGAATACATTTCTTTCTTTCTTTTTTTTTTTTTTTTTTTTT